TTAAGGTTAAAATTTGTTTTAAATAAATTTTTAATTTTTAATTTTAATTTTAATTTTCATTAGCTGTAAAATTTATAAATTTAAAATAAAAAAATTTGAAACTACAATCATACTAATAGAGACTAAATTAGTAGAACAAAGGAATATATATATGAAATATAAAAATTTATTTAAAATCATTAAGTTAATGCATTCGGTCAAGCAAAGCTGGGGCCACCGAGCATATATTGTTGAAAACATTTAAAAACTAGGCCATAATTCTGAAGGGTAATGCCATGGCAAAATGAGGTATCTAATTTAAAATTTCAAGTCTTAACTAATTGAGTCTCTTCATTGTGCAGGTTAAATTAAATTGTTATATAATTCCTTAATCAGAACCTCTTTTTACCGCGAACTACCAGTCTTCCACGAAGCTCACCTAGTACCCCTCAACCCTTCACTTTATTTATATAATGATGGCATCCTATCCTTATTTTATTTTTCACTTTCAACTGACAGACAGCAGAGAAAGCTCCATGGTGAATCCAAGGAATCCTAGTTTCAGTGGAGACGGAGAAGGTGAGGAACACAGGGAATCCAACAATGAAAGCAGTAAGCGTTCAATTGCCTCAATGCCTTTTTTCGTAGTAATAGTTTATTTCTTCAGATCTAATCAAAGTTCACGTTTGATGGTGAATTTCATATATGATGCCTTACACATTAATATGTTCTATCCTTGATCTATGGCATCAGGTACCTACCGAGGTTTAGATCCCTTTGATCCAGCTGTTGCTGCCGCCTTCGAAAGAGAGAAGATGAATCAACAACGAGGTCAAGGTCTAGGTAAACGTCCACGTGGAAGAAGATTCTCTCCAAATTCCAGTGAGCGCAATCACTCTGCGAACAGTCAGACGGTAGCTGAACGTGAAACAGAGCCGTCGAGACAGCAACAACGAGGTCAATTCCGATCTACAGATGCATGCTCTGAAGATTCTCATTTAAGAGGAGAAAATATTCCAGAAATCCCTGTAGCAGAGACAAAGGAAGAGAAGAATAAGAGGAGAAAGACCCAAAAAGCTGTGGCCGATAAAAACTATAGGGAGAAAATCAGGGTAATGATCTTCTTTAAGTGAGCAAATCTAGCATATACTTGGATTTATACACTGTAAAAGATAACTTCATTTAACTATCGTGTATTTGTTTTAACTTAGATGCAGTTTGAGGCTGTTATTTTTATTTTATTTTGGTCATCAACTTGACGCTGTTTGGCTAAGCTTTTTTAATGTAGTTTTTTAGCTAAAAATTGGAAAATCTTTGTTTCTTCGAATTAATAATTTGCTCGAGGTAAACTCGATTTTTAGCAAAATAAATTAGATTTTAAGTAAGTTTTGCTGAAAACTCTTAAGTTTTTGCCTTTGATAAAACCTAAAAGTTATATTATTATTATTATTATTATTATTTTGCTAAAAATTATAACTTTCCCTGCAACATACTTCAAATTTCAAATGACAAAAACTCTAAATTTTTAGCTTAACAGTAATTGAAAAAAAAGTTAAGCCAAACAGTTTCATCATATTTTTGTTTGTGTTTATTTGTTTTTTTAGCATGTTTCGTTTAGAAGATAATTATTCCTAAATTATTTAGCTTATGGAGTACCATACAGTAATAAATGACTATTTTATGATTTTATTAATTTTTTACTAAAAATTCGGAAAGATAATTATTCAGACATTATATATGTGAGGTCAGTGCATTCATAGTCCCTCATTTTATGGTTTCATGTCCAGCAAAGAGCAGCGCTAGCGGATAAACTTGAGCCTGAAAATGAAGAATTACGCGAAGAAATAGAAGAATTACGCAAAGAAAAAGAAGAATCACGCAAAGAAAATGCATCCCAACAAGCAATGATAGAGGATCTTAGAAGAAGATTGGCCCAACAGGAGAAGAAAGTAGATGATCTTACCGAAAATGGGAAAAATGTAGATGATCATGCAAAAAAAATTGGCCAAATGGAAGGAGAAGACGAAAAAGTGCCAGGTAAATTTCCTCCTAATTGAGAAATCCAAACTAATTATTTGGAATTGTTTGGTAGTAGGAGTGTTATCTTTTATTTTTTATTTCAGTTTTAAGAATACAGATTCATTAAGAGAGAGAGAGGATGTCGAAAATTTATTTGGTATAAGGTTCTTTTCTTTTTCAGTGAAGTCTAGCATCAATTTTTTATTTTTAAATAACTATCAGATTTAGTCTTCAAATTTTAGTATAAATATTAAATATTGTCCTAACATTTTATTTGGACAAAAAATAGTTTTCAACCTTTTCAAAATTATCAAACTTAATCTTACTATTAGTTATTTCTGTTAAGTTACAAACAAAATTTTAATTGGAATTTTAGGAGGTCATAGAAATTTTTACATAATTTTTTTTTTAATTTTTGTTTTCCTAAAATTAGTTTTTCTAAATTTTGTACTCTTTAGACACTTTAACTTTTTTTTTTTTTGAAAAATATTTAGGAATTTTTTTCTACTTTACGGATAAAGGTTTATGTGTATGTTATAGGTAGCACTCCTATATATGATTTGAGATAACACTTTTTGATGAATTTTATAAGGTAGTAATTTGGATGACGAAGAAATTACAATTGAAAAATATTTGAATTATAAATTATAAAATTTATTATATGGCTAGACAATTAACATATGTCAAAAGTTTTTCAAATTGAAACAGAAAATTTGTATTAGGTAGAAGATAAAAAAAATGATATTTGGAGTTTCCCAAAAGAGAAAAAATACCTCATTAAGGTACATTAAAAAGAATAAAATATATGTTTGGTGTTACACAAAAGAATGGTTAAAAGTTCTATTTTTTTTTTCTGGTTTAAGGATTTTAGTGGCTTCTCAAAAATTTAATTAAAATTTTCATTAGGAATATATTGATTAAGTTAAAATTAGATTTGTAATTTTAAAAAGGTTTGAGATTATTTCTTATCTAAATAAAATATTGGGACAATATTTAACATTCATAATAAAGGTTAAAAACTAAATCTAATATTTACCATTTATTTTTTTTAGAAACCGAAAAATTCTTATTTTCCCTCTCAATAGAAATTCTTGTTTTTAGTTTTTTATTTTCATGTTTTTGGGTGCTACATGCCTTGTTTCTCCTCTCTGTCCTTACGGTCCTTGACAGTTGACACCATTAATATGTTGTGGTACAATTCAGGAAGAAAACCGAGAACTGCATGCTGAAATGCAAAGTTTACGTGAGAGGATGAGGATGGTTGGATTATTACTAGAAAAAGACAGGCCTAAAAAAGGCACGTTTGTGAATCCAGTTCACTCAAAAGAATCAAGCCGCCAACGTGTAAGTCTCTGCGTGACCCTAACTGGAGAAGTTTTTGTTTTCCTAATTAATTTAGAAAAAATTAATGCATTCATTTTCTTACTAATTTATCAAAAAAAAAAAAAAAAGCAGGATACATCTCCTGACAGGGATTCCGACGACAGCGAGACCGACAGCCGTTAACCAATGCTAGCGCAACTATTTGGTTTGGGTATACCCATTATCTCTAGGTACATGATTCCATTTTTTAAATATTTAAAGAAAGTTGGTGAAATACAGTAGCAGTAGTTGCGAAAAGAACATACCAGTCATTTATCTCCAAAGTAACTTTCATTTTTTTATTTAAAATTTGTTTTAATTAATTTTTTTTAAATAAATATATATTTATTTGAACTTCAATTATAACAGTATTTTGCACAAAACTTATTTAATAAATTTATATTTTTAAATAAAATATTATGTAAAAAAAAATCTATACAAAATACTGTTAAATAAAGGTAAAGTATTTAAAAATATAACAAATAAAAGTAAAACTTGAATAGTTGAATGACTAAATTAATTATTTTACAAAAGTCTAGAAGGACATTTGTCCCTTTTGCATTAATGTGGCTTCGCTAGTGCGAACTGATATTCCTATTTATTAACAAAGTTACATATGATATCCTTCTAATATGTCTGTATTGCATTTAACTAAATCAAAGCTCACTGTCTCATCCTGGTTATTGTGTTTCATTAAATAAAACTTGCTTTCTTTCCACAGTTAAGATTGTTCAGAATTAGTGACTTCTAATTAATATCATTAAACCATTGCCTATCTTCAATAATAATAATAACAACAATATAATTAAAATCTGTTTTATTAAGGTACTGCTCTTGGTCCGAAACCCGCCACTGTTACTGAAGCTTTGTCGCTTAATATCACTCAAGGGTTTGACGCTGAAAGAGCACTATTTCGGCTTGTGAGGCAAGCAGTGAGGTATATGACGGTGGCTTTACTGTTGTTTAGGCATTTCATTATTTACATTTTAATTTGTATTGTACTAAGTAACTAGTACGCAGGATAACCGTGGTTGTGTTTTAATTTATTTAATTGGATGTAAAAGTGTATGGGATGTTTATATTAATAATTAAAGAGAGTTAGTAGTTAATAATTTATATTTAACAATGGATCATTATTAAAAGTTATAATTTAAAATTTTTATTTCGTTTGATTAGAATTGATAATTAAAAGTTAATTTTAAATCAACCATTTCAATATTTTTAATAAATGTATTTAAAGTAGGAATGATTTAATAAATCGACTGTGTATGGTTTTGATCAAATAACGTGTTTTGATTGTTGATGAATGTTAATTAATTAAAATAATTTTAACTTAAATTAATAATTTTATAAGTATAAAAAAAAAAGACAACCATTTTTTAGTACGAAATTCTTTAGCAAAACATTATATATTTGAAAGTGCGGTGTAGAATTGGCATGAGTCAGGATTACCAATAAAAATCTTGCTACTTGACCAAAAAATCACAACCTCCAAATGTCTCCAAGGCTGCAACGCATGGATTAGCAATTTAGCTTCAATATGGTTTGATTTAATGGTTTTGCTTTGCTCGTCCGGTAAGCTATGTGGTTGTTTTTTCTTAGGAAAAAAATTAGAATTATTAAATCAGTTCTAATTCCACCATAATCTAAGGGATTTTAACTTCCACAACTGCTGATTTTTTAAGCGAATTGCTAATAACCTTAAATAAACATATGGTAGCAAAAATCTAACAAATGAGGAGAAACAGAAACACACGAGCAACATGAAACCAAAATGGATCAGATGGCCTTCGAGAATGAAAAAGCTGTGTTTACAGCATACAATAACAATGCTTCAAGACTAATCAGAACAAGAAAAAGTAGTTTCTTAAAGAAACACAAAGATATCAAGAATTGATATTTTCATCCCAAAACCTTCGCCTTACACAAAACACCTAGAAGAGTTTTAAGGATAAAATGTCTGCTTGCCAAGATATCCAATTCTAAAAAGTTGAGGAGCAATGGAATAATTAACATTTAACCAGATGAAAGAACATATGTCAGTACTGTCGGTATATATTTCATATTTGACAATAAATAGCTTGTCATATTAAACTCAAAAAACACAAAATGAAGCAGAGACTCCTACAACATAAATATCAGATCAGATGATCATATGTGCATAAAGTAGAGAAATTCTGAAGCACAGCACAACAAAGATTTATACCACTATTTAGAAAGCCTGTTAAGTTAACATTCAATTTTACAGATAGAAAAAGATTAGGAAAATTGATATTATTGACCACAAAAAAAATTAGCAGAGAAGAAAAGACCTAAAGAGGCAAGGAATTCCTCTGCTATTTTCAAGGAAACTTGAAAACCCATAAGCAGGCATTATATGGCAGCATGTATTATCTAGTCAAAATGATCTCAAGACATTATCCTTTCTTACTTTTACATTCTAAGAAATTCATTTCATAATAAGCAACAAACTTTTGGAACAGAACCATCTATGTGTATTTCTGAATCAATTATGGTGCTCTATGAAGTTAAAAAAATTATATTTTTCTATCAAACCTTTTCATACAATTCCTCAATCTCTACGAAACCTCCCTCCAGAACTAACATACGAACTGATTTCTAAAGAAAAACCAACACCAAAATGAAGAAAAAAATAATCAGATTCTGTGAAAAAACCGAATTCTCAAACAGAAAAAAAATTTGAAGATTTACTAACTGTTGGAGTAGCTGAAGATCCAAAAGCACGCACCAATTACAAAGCCGAAGTCTGCAGTATTTTCTTATCTAACTGGAACTGTTTCGAAATGGAAAAGCATTCTAGCCTACCGCCGGCGTCGGCAACCAGAATAAGCAATGGTTGAAGGAAGGTTTGCAATGGGAAGTCCAGAAGTTGGGTATTCCAGAAACTTCTTTGGCGGCCCAAAGTTGGTTTGTAGTAGCGTGGCCCAGTACGCTGGTTAACTGGGCCGAAAGTCGTGGAGACATTAAAAAAGTAACCGTAAAAATTTTCAAGGAAGAAATGGAAGTGCTAGAAACCATATACACGTAAAATATCTCTTAACGTCACTCAAAACCTTCAAGAATTATCTAAATTTAAGAAGACTATAAAGTCTTTGTGAATAAAAGTAACCCAAAAAACTCACAATAATAGAGTTACAAAGAATTCCTATGTGCTATTTTTGGTTTGATTCTCTTAAGTCTTAATCTAATTTGAAATGGTTAGTGGAGGAGCCTTTTGCGATTAGGTTTTCCTTTTGGTCTCCAATCCTCAAACGTACGTACTCCAATTTAATTTCAATTTTGCAACTTTCCATAACAAGTATTCAATGTGCACCTAAACAAAACTTTTATGATTTATTAAATTAAAGTTGTTTGCCGAGTGATTGAAATTGATCTTTTCAAAATTTTTGTTTCAAACCTATAAATATTGATTTGAATTGCTTTTTAAAAAATCCATAAATATTGATTTAAACTACTTTTTTTTTTTCTGAGCCACCCGGTATCCGGAAACTTACAGGACAATCGACTAATCCGAATTCGAGTCAAGCAGAATCCAACGAGTGAAAAAACTCTATCTCACGAATTTTAATAGAACTGCATTATCAGAACTTGAAACCAAAACTCTGGTTAAGTTGAAACATTTCTGTCAATTCATCCACCTACTCGTAGGTTGATTTAAACTACTTTCCAAAAAAAAACTCTGCATTTTAATTTTGTGGGATTGATTTGAACTATATTAGATTAATTTGCTAAACTTTTATTCTAATCATGAAAAAGATTAAAACTTTTTAATTAACTTGCTTATACATCTAAAATTAAATTTTTTAAACATCAATAAATCATGATATTAACTCACCGTCAAAATTCATCAAGAAACCTAACACTCTTATCCAATTTTTATTGGTAATCTTCCCCTTAAGTTACACTACTAGAAGAAATTAGTAATCCTTTGCACATCATGTTCTACTTAGAATTTTCCTTATTTTTATAGTTGAATAAAAATGATTGTTTCTCTAGTAAGATATGCTGATGAATCAATGATGGTGTAGTCCGTAAAAGGATCCAACAACTAAAATGGTTGTTTAGAGATGTTGGGTGATCAAAATGTTAATAATGATAAATTCAGTGACCACATGATTTATCAAATTACCGATCTCTGACTTTCGATTAACGACCAATGATCTATAGCTCAACGTTCGAATCATCGCAACTCACGCACGATACGGTCTATGAAAGCGTGTTGCAAGAAGATGTCAGAGGCCACCATAATCTTTAGTCAAAGTCTTCCTTTCCAAACCACTTTTTTTTTAACCAAAAATAATGATTAATAAATTAATTTTATTAATGATTAATAATTAAAGATTTAATTTTCAAATAAAGTGAATATTTCCCTTTCTTTCGCTTCAATAAGGCGTGCGACCGCCGGATTGCTTGGTGGGCGTCCTCCATACTACCTTTCATACCAACGTTATCATTGGATCCACGGTAAAAAAGTGTCGGCAAATTGAGTAAATAGTTTAAATCTTGATACTAATATTTAAAATAGTTTAATTTTTTCAAATACATTAAGATTTTGTTTGGAAGTATCCTGTTATGTTGTGTCAAATTATTGTTATAAGTTCTTTTTCTTGTCTTTTTATTGTTTATAGTTAGATATTTTCGGGTCATTTTGGCATTTCAGACTATTTTGTTACACCATGGTGATAATTTTTTTTTTTGTTACACTTTTATATTACTTGATACAACCAATAAAATTAATTTTTTAAGCTCTAATGTTGAAATTTGAATCTTAAATTTATTTTATAAGGTTAAATTTTTTTATCAATGAATTCAATCTTTAGAATTAAAAATGTTGAACTACTTACTTTTTTTTTATTTTAAAATAATTATTTTTTTAATTTTTTTAAATTAATGATTTAAGAATAATTCATGTGTTTATCTATATTAT